ATATTTTACAGGGTGTTCCGTAAAATTTTCACAATACATAGCCGGATGAGAAGCCCATTTCCGACAAGTCCATAAAATAAAAAAACATTACTAAAAATATGGTTTTTCAAACGTTTAGACTTTTTCAAACTTTACATTACTTGATATTTCATGACATTACTCTTATATTACGTCATGAATAAGATAATTTTTCTAGTTCACTTTCGTCTATTTTCGTAGTTCAAACGCTAATAGAAATTATTTGAATGTTTGCTTTGAATAAGTAAAACTTGTTTTAGTACAGATTCCTTATAACTCCATTTTTATTATCTAACTTTTAATATTTACAGCAACAATGGATTAATTAATTTCAACAAGACAAATTGACAGAGAAGCAAATAAAATATACAAAAAATTGAGTGTGAAATGATAAAAAATCAGGCATCAGGAGAATGTCAAGTGGTTTATTTTTCACCAGTTTGCCTCATTAGCTTCCTATGAAATGCTTAAAAATATTAGAGAGATTGACCAATTTTTTCACAAAACAAGAAAATATGAATGCAGTTAAAAATTGCCTTACGATGAATTGTATACAGAGCGAGTTGCGTAAACCATGCGGTTCCTTCCAATTGAGAGTTTGTAGATCATTACAGCACATATTATAGGAGATAATTGCAGCAGAGCCTTCCAGGAGTACTCGGAGCAGTGCACAACAACTCACACTTTCCCAAGCAACTAAGCACCGGATATTTACCGAGGAAGGGCTAAAACTCTACCATGTATGTAAGATACATAGGACACAAGGACACATTAAATCTCTGGTTCACCGAACACCGGTACAAAATGAGCAGGAGTCAATTAACCGAATACCAGAAGCTGCGCAACACGAGTGCAGAATAATCGGATTACACGGGCACAGACTTACAATACCATGTAGCGCTACAACCCAGGGTGGCTCTTGTCACATTGCACTATGCTCCTCCAGGCCAGAAGGAAAGTCCTCCAAACTATTCGTGTCCAGAGGGGTACTCATTTTTGTCTTTCCATCTCTGGCGTGGTCTCCCAAGTGGCCTTTCCCCAATGGTCTCTCCTCCCATACCAGTTCCGTCAGTCTATCATCTCGTAGTATATGAACACGCTCGTAGGATCTTAGGCGCTGGGACTTAATTTCTTTCACAATATTCCCGCCGCCATAAAGCTGATTAATTTCGGCGTTTGCCCTGATGCGATACTGGTTGCACCGAAGGGTCGGGGTGAGAACCAAAAGTTTTCTTATAATTTTTCTTTCAAACCGCCTAAGCTTTCCTTTAATAGCACTTGTTATTGTCCATGTTTCGCATCCATAAGCGATTATTGGTCTTATAATGCGTTTATGGAATCTCACCTTTGAGGTTTTCGAGATGCTTTTGAACTAGAAAAAGGTTTTTAGAGGAGACTTTTATTTCCTCTGTGACATCGTTAGCGGCTGTAATTGTTGCTCCTAAATATTTGAAACATCCCACTCGTTCAAAATTATAAATGTCTGTTGATACATTATTCCCTATTTTGTTTCGGAGCCGCTGTCTGCTTATACACGTACGTGGCTGATTCAATTTACTTTTTGAAGATACGATTTCAAAGATACTATTTACAGTTGGAGTCCCCAATGATGTCAATGTCATCTGCATATGCTAGCAATAATTCTGGACCTCGTAAGTAATGTACCTCACATTAAAGTATGTAAGATCACATTAAACCATTGGATTACTGAACACCGGTATAAATTGAGAAGACGTTTATTAACCAAATACGAGAAGCTGCTCGAGAAGAGTGCATAAGGTAATTACACAGGCCCTTGTTTGGAGTTACAGACTCAAATGTATGTTTTTGTAATTAGTAAACAAATTATTAATTCAACGACCTCTGCTGAATTTACCGTTTATCCTTGTCTATCTTATTGTCACTTTCTCTACTTATGCATGATTACCGGAGTTTTAAATAATTACTTAGTTAATAATGTTAATTAGGCAAACACCTTGCAAAACATTGTTGCCGTTTTTCTAATATAGTTTTTTGCAAATTTCTCAGTTTTATATACCAATGGATTTTTTTACTATTGCTTCTGTACTCATAAAACACCGCCAGACAACACCTCCAGAGGAGAAATGCCAATTTTGAATCAACCTGTATGTATGCACCTATAAAAATCAATTGAACATGGTATACGGTTCCTGACCCAAAACTTACTAAAAATAAAAATCTCTATATTTTAAGTCCAAAATTATTGTTCTTCCAATGATACTAAACACCGGTTTAGGAGACAAGCAATCAGCAAAACTTCCGCAGGGCGTAACGTGCCCGCTAAAGTATCGAGTTACTTGATAATGAAACCCTAGGGACTCAATTTAGGCTTGCCACAGCGTCGAGCAATTATTTTCGTTATTTTCATTATTAAAGTGCCTCCAGTATGAGTTAGGGCGGTGCCATTTTTTGTATTTTCATAGTTTAACAACATTAAATTTGCCCTGCAGAAGAATTAATCATTTGTCGAGGATTAGGGTTGCAAATTACTTTGTATTTGGACATCTTGCCTCAGGTTTCGAGCCATCGTAAAACGAAAACAATATAATATGTTTTTGATAAGATTGTAGCCCATTCTATTCTAAATCTGTAGGGTGATTAAAAATGAGACTCACTAAATTATGTCATTGGCGAAAAAAGAAATCATTTATTCGGCGTATTTCATTTTCACTAAGAAATGCCGTTTTTGATTTCCAAATAAAAATAAAAATACTGGGCTAAAAGGATTCTCAATGCCGTGACCACATTTTTTACAGTTTACTGTAACTGAAATCCTTCCTCTTGCCATCCAGTTTATTTTAACGTGTCCTGCTGGATCAAACGTGTCCAGCTTTTCCACATAAAAAAGAATTAACTATTTTCGATTTTGCCACTTCTTTTGATAAAGGTGTGAACTTTTCTGCTATAGGGTTTGACAGTAGTGTAAGTTCTGTAATTTTTGCAAGAAAGCGAATTAGCTATATACAGGGTTATTCACGCTATACGGCACGGACATTTGCAGCTAGCCCGTTTGGTTTTTGCAAAGTATTATTTGATGAATCCGCAGACGCCTATCGGGTGCATATTTTAAAAATATTTTTGTAATGTACAGAATGTCCCAAAAGCCCTAAAAGTATCAAAGTT